AGGGGCCGGGCTGGTGATTTTGGGATCAGCAGCAGGGTAAATGCTCAGTAGATAAAAATATTCCCCATGAGGGCAGAGAGACCTCTGTGTGTGATCAAGGAGCACACACAGCTCAGCAAACCCCAAAATGATATTGGTGAGGAAACAGCAGCTCCTCTGGCAGCTGGGCAACATCAGGGAAAGCACTGAAATCACCCACTCTGCAGCCAAGGTCACTGACAGGATTTATGGATTTATCCCTCAAGAGCCTTTGCTGAACATGAAATGCTGAAATAATTTTTTTTTAATCTCTCTCCCCGCCCCTTTGGGCTCCCTCATTTGCTGGAGGCCTTTAAAATTCATTCCTTTTCACAGCTGGTTAAACAATGGAATCTTTTGGCAAACTAAAAGGACAGAATTGATTGCCCTACACAAACTTTTCTGCACGTGTAATTGATTTTTAATTCACTGCCTTATTTCCAAAAGGACTCGACAATAAACTCGGTGCTGTATGTGCAGTATTGATCCCTCTCAACAAGGGCTCAGATCAAAGACTGATGCAAGTTAATCACAAACAAAAGATTGTTATCTTTCATCTAGGAACCTGTGTTTAAACCAAATTCCCCTTTCTGGGCTGTACTACACCTTGTACTTCCCAGCTGTACTGCACTTCAGCATTTTGTACACCTGCCAGCTACTCAGTAACTATAATTTTATGCAACCTTTAAATAACAACTTTTCCCCCCAAGCAGAATAATTTCATCCTTCACTGGTCACTTTTGACTGCGAGGGCTGACGGTTCTTTTCCACTCTGAGTTCTTAGAATAGGACACAGACCAGACCTAAACTAAAATCTGATTTATTCTTAAACTAGAATCTGATTTATTCTTAAAACACAGCTCCTACAAGGCCACAGCAGTCTGGGTCTGGTGGTTTGTCATCTCAGTGCTCAGCTAAGTTTCGGTTGTTCCTGATTATCACACTTGCACACGTGGTGCATCACTAAATCCCAGCAAATGTTCATTTAGTGGGATTTCCCTGTTTATTTTCTGTGCCTACAACAATGACACTGAGCAGTCACTGGTGTCAACCTTCCAAGCCCAGCCCAGGAGTCAGCTCAGCTTTTCCAATACCCCTTTTGTGATTTCTTTCCACTCCTCCATTCCAGAGGCCCTGTTTCAATCTGGCTCTGAATTTCTGTAGCTGCCACATAAACAGTAAATAAAATCCATGGTGTTTTTGCCCCAGTAAGCAGCTCTGCTTTCAAAGGAGAACATGAGAACAATGTTTTCACCAGCACACACTCCAAAAAGGGTGGATGAGACCTTTGAGGATGATTCCAGGCAGAGAAGCCAAGCAAATAAGGCTGTGGGTTTTGCATAAGTAATTCCTTGACCTGCCACACTGGATTACAAACACTTGCAAACACATTAGGGAAGGAGTTTGCTGTCTCTTGTCCTTTCTGGCAGAGGCATCTCCACTTGTGCTTTCTGATAAACGAGTTTAAGCCGAAGCCAGGTGTGGATATTTGAAAATTTATGAACTTGTAAATGGATGTACCCGGCCAATTAGGATTTAGCAGCAGCCAGGATTAACCAGCCCTGCACATAAACGGAGGAGCTTTTTGAATGGAGGCTGTTTACCTCAACCACTCCACATCAAGAGCCATGTAAAACATTGAAAGGCAGAATATTCCAGGATAAAAGGCAGAAATCAGGGATGTCAGGGGTGGCACTGCCAGCTCTGCACAGGGTGCTCATGGTGACAGAACCTTCCTAAGGAGCACCTGGCAGCTTCCTGCAGAGAGTTTAACGTGGATGGAGCAGAGTGGAGAGCAGAAGGAACTGCCCAGCAAAGGAAGTTCAAGCTCTGCTTCACCCAGGTCTCCTCCAGCTCGGGAAGGCACAGCCCCGAGTTCCAAAGGTGCTGCAATTAAACCCCAGCAGCTCCTCATAATGCTAATGAGGAGCACAGCTCCATGCAGGAGAGCATCCCTGTGCAATAACCTGCAGTAGAGCAGCAGCAAGCTCTGCCTGCAGCAAGCATGCATAAATAAACAGAATTAATAACTACCCACGTGTGGACGGGTGACTTAATCTGTTTCCATTAGATGCAGCTCAGCCCCAGGCCTTTGTGGTATTTAAAATGTGTTCATCATGTTTAATTAAAAACCTAATAAACTGCAGGTTCCTGCAATTCTGATTCGGATTTCTCTCCCCTGAAAGCCCTATTGATTTCATCAGAACTTCTGATAAAGAGAGAAAAAAGCACATTGTGAATGAAGAGACGGAAGTGTGATTTGGAACTGGGGCTGTGGGGTGAGCAGAGCCAGAGCCAGCTCCTGTCCTTCACACCCAGCACATGAAGCACTCCAGAACACAAAATTAGGTTCCCATCAGGTTCCCCAAACCAGAGATGCTCACTGTACCCTGCATCAATAACACTCTTTGAGAGATTATTGATCCCACACACCCTTTGAGAGGTTTTTGATCCCACACACCCTTTGATAGGTTATTGATCCCACATGGAGCTCATTCTTGCACAGGAGCAGGCTCAGAGCTGACACCACTGAGGTACAAAGCCATTCTGCAGAGAGGATTTTCTCCCAGGATTTTTCATGGTGATTTTTTAAGGACAGTTTGTTGTGGGAGATGCTGCCAGTGGAACCAGAGCAGGGGATGGAATGGGGATGTTCATTTCACCTGACCCCAGCTCCAGGTTTGGGATCCCAGCTCCACCATCAGGGCAGCAGCAGAGGAACAGAGGCACTGCCAGACCCACCCCAGGCTCCAAACCTCTCCCACAGCAGCCACAAAGGATTTCCCAGTGGGGCAGAGCAGAGCAGCCCCACTCCAGCCCAGGGGGTTCTGGCTGCCTGCACCCCAACCCCACACACACCTGGCAAAGATGACAGGGGCATTTCCAGAGGAGAGCAGAGGTGCAGGGCAGAGCTCAGCGCTCTGAGAGGAGATTCACACCTGCAGGAGGCACAAACCAGGACAGCTCTGCTCCCCTCCTGCATGCTGCAGCCTGTGAACTGCAGGAGATGCTGCTGGGGCTGCGTGTGCCCAGAGCATCCCAGCCAGGCATTGAATGCGACCATTGCTGCACCCTGCATTGCCAGGGACACCGAGCCCATCACAGCTCTGCTGGAAATGGATGCTGTCAGCTGGGGAAGGAGCCCTGAAAACGGGAACCAGCTGCAGAGCAGAGCAGAGCAGAGCAGGAGGTGCCCTGGCCACTCTCACACGCTGTGGGCAGGGCTGGCTCTCACCCTGGGCCTCTGCATTTACACACCGGGACTAAAAACCCTTCAAAAACAGCCCCAGGTTCAGGGGCACGAGGGAAACAACAAAGCCCAGCCCTCATCTTTACACAGCCCCCATATAACTCAATCAGTGGCCAGTTTTATCCTCTGTTTAATTCCATCTAAACATCTGCAACCACATCAGCAGCAGGAAAAATACCACAACTCCCATCCTTTGTTCCAGTCAGGTCTGACACTGCCAAGCAGCTCCCACCTCCCAGTTTGGAGCTGCTCTCATGGAAAACAAAGGCTTTGGCCAGCTGAGAGCCCACAAAATGTTCTAAATGTGCTGGTATTATTATCATTATTATCATCATTATTATTGTACAGGTTAACTGACCAAAGCTCTGTATCAGGTGTGGGATCTGCTTATTCATCCAACTGCAAACTTAAATCTCAGTATTTAAATTAAAATAAACCACATTTTCTGGGCTGCCAGGAGAGATTTATTGTAAATCCAGCCCAAGTAAGGACAGGGGTTGGACCTGGGCCTCCATTTCCCCAGAACTCTCTGGGATTATCCCTGGCCCTGAGATGAAGGCACACACAGAGTTAATGCTGCCACCACAGTTTCACTGTTGGGGCCAGATGAGGCTTTGACACCTCAGTATTTTCTGAGCAACATTTCACTGCAGAATTGCTCTGCAGCTTCAGCACCCTGTGGGTCAGAGCTCTCTCAGTTTCCCAGGGCTGCAATAAGGAAACCTCCCCTGCAAGGCTCCAAAATGCTCCCAAAATGCTCCAGAATGCAGCAGAGCTGCTTGGGGCTGGAGCTGCAGGGAGCAGGAGGCTCTGAGGCTGTGCAGGTGGAGCTCTGCTGTCTATAAACAAGAGCACAGTTTGATCTTTGGCTCTGCCCAGCCTGGAGGGCTGCCAAACGTTGCTGGAAACTTGGATGGAGCAGAGCAAGAACAAATATGATCAAATGAGCTGGGGCTGACAATGATTTATGGAGTCAGTGATCATTACTCTCTGCTCACAGAGCAATGCTTCACTTTTCAATAAACTTTGGTTTTTTCCATTGGTGAGGCTCAGTTCTCTCTCATTTAACAGGGGTGGATCGCAGCTCCAGCACTCTCGGCTCCCTGCCATCCTCCCTCCATCCCCAGGCAGCACTCAGGGTCTCTGCTGGGTGGAACCAGCCCCAAATGGGGCTCTGGGCTGGCGCAGCCCCTCCAGGAAGGTTTCAGTGAGGAGGGAGCAGAGCACACATCATGCACTCCCTGAAAGCCTCGCACAGAACCCACAGCTCAAAAACCCCCTCCAGCCACTGCCTGGATAATTGAAGCCACCAAGAGAACATGAGAGTTTGCTCCATTGATCAGTTCTATCTCCTAACACCAATGCCAGTTTTAATGGTAGCTTAACAAGATCACATTTTTACTTTTGTTTACTCCTTTAAACACTTCACCAATTAACCAGCTTAAAAATCGACCCACTCAAGGCAAAAAAAAACCAAAAAAACCCAAAAAGGCCCCCCCAAAAAAACCCCAAACTTTTCTGCTGCCACTTTTCCATGACTAATTAATTCTGTCATGCACTGCATCAGGTTTTTTCATTTATACCCATGCATGTGTATTTTTATTTACACACCCACCCTCTTCCTGCTCATAAGGAAAACCTCTTTAGGAAGAAAAAACAAAAAAACCCAACATAAAAAAGCAAGAGCAGCAAGGTGAAGCATCAAGGCTGCAGGAGATAAATCATTTCCTACCACTTCATCCTCAGTCCAACACTTCTCAATCAGCTTTGGCACAGGTTTCTTCACCAGGCGCTGCAGGGCTTTCCCAGCATCGTAGTTGCTTTCATGGAGCTGAAAGAAAGAAGACAAATAGATCATCCAAAGGAATTAGCAGTGATCTGATATTGGAGGGGAAAAGCCACTACAGGGAGCCACAAGAGATGTTCTGTGCCTAATTATTGCTCCTGTTGATGTATGGGGTGAGTGTAAACAACCTGAGGGGAAACTGAGGGTTCAGAGGGGAAGCAGCAGCACCAAACCAAGCAGGGATCCCCTCCCTCCCACACCTGCCCCAGGTAATGCTCAACCCAAACACTGCTCCCTCCCCCTCACAGGGCTCAGAGTGACGTCAGCCATGACAAAATACAAATTAAAACATGATGGGTTATGTTCTTCACTTTATTGTTCTTCACTTCACACAACTTGGCTCCATCTCCTGTGGTCAGCAGAAGAAAAAAAAAAAAAAAAAATTTAAAAAACCAACTTAAAAGAAAATAGTTCTAAGGCTCCCATGGTATGCAATGCCTACTTACAGGCATGGAAATAAGATGTTGCCTTTTCTGCTGGGTACACATTAATTTTCCTCCCTGTTTGCACTCCAGCACTGGGAACCAATCCATCTCAAAGAAAAAAGCTCTGTTTGTTTTGCCAGCTCACCTTGCAAATGCCTCTTTTCTGTGCGTGCCACTACCCAGAGGATTTCTCACTCGGGAGATGTGACAGGGCTGAGGAGAATGGGGCTCCTGTTTCCCTCCCCTCCCGCTCCCTCCCAGGCAGCAGCAAGGCCAGAGCTCTTTGTGACTTGGAGGGCATCTTTGTTCTGCCTCAAGGGCAGCCCAGTGCCCAAGCAGCTCAGTCTGCAAGGACAACAAGCCAGACAGGCCCAGAAAGAACAGCCTGGGCTGACAGGCAGCTGCTCCAGAAAAAGAGAAGTTTACAGGCCAGCCACAGATTATATGGGGTGAACTTCTGAGCAAGTAATTCATTCATAACAACCCCAAACCCCGCCAGCACAGACCTGACAGAGGAGCCATGGGGCAGAGGAGACCCCTGTGAAAACATGATACAAGCTTAGGGGCTCCTGAAAAATGTTAATTTTAGCAGGTGGGAGTGGAAAAAAGAAGGTTTTATAAATGCCAGGAGTAGAATAATGCAGCAGAAAGGAAAAATATTTTCTCTAAGTGCTGGAGTTAAATTTACATGTTCCAGTCTGGCTCCTCCTCTGCTTTCCACTTTCAGCCATTGCTGAGCACTTTATTGGCAAGATCCAGAGGATAAATAACAGCTAATGATGACTGCCTCTGGTTTCATTAACTCCTGCTTGAACTTCTCCAGGTGTTTCTATAAACACTGCATCACTGTCCGGCCAGCCAGACAATCTCCATTTCCAGCATTAACTCTGCACCCAAACTTGGCACCACAGTGAGATTTGATCTGTGAACAACTGCAACAAAGGGAACCACCACAAATGTACCCTGAAACAGAAAACACAGCAACTTCTGCACCACAGGGCAGGATTAAAGCGCAATTCTGGATGTGCACGTGCCCAAAAGGCTCCTTTACACTGCTCTACAGACAGCCAGGGCCCAGGGAAGGGATTTCACATCAAGGCTGCACAACCCCACACGATTCCAGCTCCCACTGCAGCTCTGAGCAGAGCTGCCATTGCTGTCTGGGTGATGCTGCAAATAAATTCTCCTTTGGCAAGGCTCAGCTGTCAGGCACCTCCAGTCTGTAATGAACCCATGAATTACATCTTGCAGCTCTGACATCTCCGGGCTTGCTCGTCAAAATATTGTTCTTCAATTGTAATTTATAACTTAATTTAAACGTCCCTTTCCTGTGACCTTTTTGGAGCAGAGTGCCATTGCATGTGGCAGCTCCTGCTCCAGCAAGGCTTCCTCTGGCAATGACAGCCATTCTGCTGGGCCTTGGAGAGCCCAGCTCGGGCAGGGCTCAGCATTAAATACCTGCACCCCATCAGGAGCACTGAGATCCCAGAGCCGCCTTCTCCAAGCAAGGATTGCTGCAATCTCATGGGAGTGCTCCTGAACTGCCCCAGAACCAGAGCCCAGCCTGGATTGGGCTGGGCCTGGGGGCAGAGGGGATTGTTCAGCCCAACCCACCCCAATGGGGCTGCAGCACTGGGGGGACAGCCCTGAGTCCCAGAGCTCCCAGCTCCACACTGGCTCTGCCACGGGAGAAGGAAAAAAGGAAAATGAGGAGCAGGATGGGGATCGGTGCCACGGGCAGCTCCGTCTTTGGGTGTGAAAACTCCAACCCAACACCTGATTTAACACAAAATGCAATTCAGGCCCCTTCTTTCAGTAGCAGAGCCGACAAATAGTGAGCTGTGCATATTCTGTATAGCTATCCTGCCCTACAGTGAAAACAGAATATGCTCCTTTTAGCTGTTATCATTTCTAAAGCCCAGCAGCACAGGAGCCCCAAGTGCCCTTTAGGGTATAATTTGGCTATCAGACAAAATCAATCAAAAAACCCCAACTTCCATCTCTTTCCCCCAACTCTAATCTATTTCAGGCACCTAAAGAGCTGCTGCTGAAGATTAAAAATCCTGATGTTTGTGATGCAGCCACTTCGTTGTGCCAAACAGCCCAAATGCAGCTGCAGAACAGCTGTGGGGCACTGCAGGCAGGGCCAGGGCAAGAAATGCCCATTACCTGCAAAACTCACAGAGCACGGGCAAGAAATGCCCATTACCTGCAAAACTCACAGAGCACGGGCAAGAAATGCCAATTACCTGCAAAACTCACAGAGCCAGGGCAAGAAATGCCCATTACCTGCAAAACTCACACAGCCAGGGCAAGAAATGCCCATTACCTGCAAAACTCACACAGCCAGGGCAAGAAATGCCCATTACCTGCAAAACTCACAGAGCCAGGGCAAGAAATGCCCATTACCTGCAAAACTCACAGAGCCAGGGCAAGAAATGCCCATTACCTGCAAAACTCACAGAGCCAGGGCAAGAAATGCCCATTACCTGCAAAACTCACAGAGCCAGGGCAAGAAATGCCCATTACCTGCAAAACTCACACAGAGCCAGGGCAAGAAATGCCCATTACCTGCAAAACTCAGCACAGCCAGGGCAAGAAATGCCCATTACCTGCAAAACTCAGCACAGCACTTTAAAACACCTTCCAAAACCAGCAGGATTTTGAATATTCCCCCAGAATGTTATCAGCAATGACAGCAGTGGGGCTTGGCCCTTTCTGACCTGCCTGTAAGAGTGAGGATGAGGATGGATGGAAGCTCCAGAGGCAGAAGTGTCTCCTGCACTGGGACAGGCCTGGGCAGGGAGCCTGGCCCTGCCTGTGTGAACCAGGAGAGCAGCTGCTCATTAACATCCCCCACCAGCAAAACCAGTCACAAGCAGAAATGCTAACATGTATTTAAACAATTTTGTTTTATGCTTTCAACCTTGTCTGTAGTTAATGAACAAGAAAATCTGGTCTAAGGGCAAGTTAAAACAGGGAGTAATTTGTCTGGGTGACATCTTAGTTAGGAGTGAATTTCCTTGCACTGAGATTAGCCTGTCATGTTTGTCACTCATAATGACACGTTCCCATGCAGCAGAGCCACGAGAAGGCACAACAACACTATTAGTAAAGAGAGATTTACACAATATTAGCATATCATTGTTTGGGCTCTCCTCCATGCGGCACTACATGAGCTTAATGGTGCTATTTTTTCATCTGCTGGGGATAAACAGGAGTGGCTGGCTGAGATTTCCAGCAGAAACACGAACCAAGGCCCAGAGATCGCGGGTCCCACTCTGAGTTTGCAGCCTGCCCGCCCCAGGCCCGCTCCAGCTTTGCTGCTCACACAGCCCAGGCCAGGCTGAGCTCTGGGAATGGATTCCTCCTCTGCAGCCCTGTCAGACCCGAGCACAGGGCAGGGAATGGATCCCTGCCCGGCCTGGAGCAGCCCTGCAGAGCCCGGAGCAGCAGGCACGGTCAGAAGGGTGAAAGAGCTCCTGAGCTCCTGCCTTTGCCCTGCTGTGGACACAGAAAGGGTCTGAAACCACATCTGGGGCTAAATCGGAGTCTGGAGGCAAAGGGGAGGGAAGGAACCACTCCCACACCTCCCCCAGGCCTGTGCCCAACATTCACCTTGTTCCCTCTGCATTCCCAGGCTGGCACCACTCCCCCCGGGCAGGAGGAGCTTTCTGGGATCATTTCCTCACCACTATTATGGGAAAGGCCTGCAGGAGCTGCTGTGTGCTCCTCAGCCCTCCCAGTCCCACAGGGGCACCGTCAGGAGGGCAGCAAACCCCAAATGAAAACTCAATTCCCTTCCTAGGGGTTACAGAGACAAACGTGGCAGCAACAAACACAGGACAGGAGCTGGAGTTCACCTGGAATGCTGATGAACAACCCTTGCAGGGAGCTGAGACATAAATACATGTGTGTGATGTCTGTGCTGCATTGTGCCTTCCATGATCTCCATTTCTATCTGGCACAATTAACAATAAATCATTCTGGGGGCTCACAGCACCTGTTATTACATAAATAAAACAGCAGCAAAGGAGCTTGTCAAGACTGATTTATGTGAAGTGCTGCCCTGAAGTTTATTGGATTTCCATAATAAGAAATCATAGCACACCATTTTCTTTTACATTCATCTTCTGGGTTGCATATGGTAATTTCTAAACAAAGACACAACTTAGTGCAGGTTAAGAGGCTCACAAATCATTTATCAGATAAATCTGATCTCTTTTAAATTGGTGCTGAACTGTAAGACAAAAGAGGCACCATTTTGTCAGGACAACAGGTGAGTTATCTAAACTGTTAAAAGCCAAAAAAGCAGGGTCTCAGAAATAAGTCAGAGTTTCTTAAAATATCCCTGACAGAACTATTATTTATATGGAAACTCTTTTCTAGAAAAATCCACAGTGGGCAAGGAAAGCATTTCCTAAAATAGACATGCACTAGAAACACAAAGAGAAAAGAACCAGAAGAACAAAACCAAAATATTTTGGGACTAATCTAATTTCAGAAGCAAGAACTCCACAAGTGCAGCTGCAGATCCTGGGGCTGCCAAGCCATTAAAGGGAGTAATTAAAGTAGATAGAGAAGCAGTGAAGTTAAATGAATTTTTCTGCATTAGGCTGTTATTATAGATAAGGGCAAAGCAATTCCAATTGCAAAAGCTCCTTAATGATTATTGACCTTAACAGAAGTTTGAGTCTCTGAGAAGGAAGTCAGGGAAGAGCTCAGCCCAGAGCAGAGGGGTCAGGCACTCAGGGAAAGGAGCACAGGGAAAGGAACTCAGGAGCAGAACGCAGGAATTTCAACTGCAGCTGAACCCAGACCGGACCCAAGAGCCAGCCCAGGGGCAGCTGGGCCAGTCCCAGTCCCACAAACACTCCCTGGGGTCACCCTCGAGGCACCACCCATGAGTTCATCACCGAAATCCTGCAGCTCAGGGCTCTGAAAACCACCTGGTGTTTGAGAGAGGCTCCCACCAAGAAAAGTGACCCCAAAAGCTGGACGCCCTCAGTCCCTGCTGTCCCAGGAGGGGCAGAGGGCTGTGTCCCCAGGTCACTCACTGTGTTCAGGGTGGTGTCCCACCAAGAAATGTGACCCCAAAAGCTGGATGCCCTCAGTCCCTGCTGTCCCAGGAGGGGCAGAGGGCTGTGTCCCCAGGTCACTCACTGTGTTCAGGGCGTTCAGGGTGGTGTCCCACCAAGAAATGTGACCCCAGAAGCTGGATGCCCTCAGTCCCTGCTGTCCCAGGGTCACTCACCGTGTTCAGGGCGTTCAGGGTGGTGTCGTCCCGCGAGGCAGCCACGCATCCGTCCTCTGTGGAGCCCCCATCACACATCCCTGCAAAGGCTGCCATGCTCCTGCAAAGCCAGGGACAGGGGACACTGCTCAGCTGGGCTGGGGCACCCCAGGGCCCCACACACACTGGGGGTTCACACCCCAAATTGTGGATTTTGAGGTGCACACACACCGAGCTCACACCTTTAATTGTGGATTTTGAGGCGCACAGGGCCCCACACACACACACTGGGTTTACACCTTTAATTGTGGATTTTGGGGTGCACAGTGCCCCACACACACACACTGGGCTCACACCCCAAATCCTGGATTTCAGGGCCTTGCCACACTGCGCATCAAATAAGGCAGCCCAGAGCTGCAAAGCTGAGTCACCCCAGCACACAGAGCAAATCCAGCATTACAATCCAATCTCATTTGCTTTCATCAGCCACCAGTCTGCACTGCCAAAGCAGCAGAGCCTGAGCAGGATTACAGAAGCTGAAACCTGCAGCCAGAACAGCCTCAGCAGACAGCAAACTTGTGCCGTCATCTTGGTTTTAATGTCAGAAAACTGACTGAAACTGCACATTCCCCAGCCTCTGAATCCCTGCAAGCTGCAAGTAATTTCCAGAGACTGAATTCCTGTGAAGCCCACCAGGGGTTTGCTGGGCCCACCAGGGAAGAGCAGCTGCTCCTTGTACCCACCCCAGCCCACCCTGCTGCCCTTGCACTGCATCCCCAGAGCCACAGAGCACGGGGGTGTCACAGACATCTTTTATGGAAAACCCTTTACTTCGGATTTTTCCTCCTGAGAAGCTGAGAGGCCTCAGGAACAAAATGCAAACAATGGTTATCTGCTGCTGTGGAATGCAACAGGTGCATCTGGGATTGGTCTCGTGTGGCTGTTTGTAATTAATGGCCAATCACAGTCAGCTGGCTCGGACTCTCTGTCTGAGACACAAGCTTTTGTTATCATTCTGTCCTATTCTATTCTTAGCCAGCCTTGTGATCAAACCTTTTCTTCTATTCTTTTAGTATATAGTTTTAATGTAATATATACCATAAAATAATAAATCAGCCTTCTGAAACATGGAGTCAGATCCTTGTCTCCTCTCCAATCCAAGAACCCTGTGGACACTGTCACAGGGGGGGCTGTGCTGGCCCAAATCTGGGATTTCTCACCTCAGACCCAAGGTCCCAGCTGATGCCCCTGGCACCCACAAACACCCCAGAGAGAAGGAGGGGCTGCAGGCACCCCGGCCCACAGCAGGGAGGTGCAGACTCACCTGGCTGCCCTCAGGTACATCAGCAGGTCGCAGTCATTGACTCCTGGCATCCACACCAGCTCCTCGTGCTGGGTCACCGTGTCCCCGTCCGGGGATGGGAACGGCTGCAGCTCGGGGAGCTTGGCCTGCAAACGGGGCACACACATGGGACACATGGCACTGGGCTGCAAACGGGGCACACACATGGCACATACATACATACATGGCACTGGGCTGCAAATGGGGCACACACATGGGACACACACACGGCACACACAGAGAGCACACACACACGGCACACACACACGGCACACACACGGCACACACACAGAGAGCACACACACACACGGCACACACGGCACACACAGAGAGCACACACACAGAGAGCACACACACGGCACACACACACACAGAGAGCACACACACACGGCACACACACACACGGCACACACACAGAGAGCACACACACACACGGCACACACGGCACACACAGAGAGCACACACACAGAGAGCACACACACGGCACACACACACACAGAGAGCACACACACACGGCACACACACACGGCACACACGGCACACACACACACAGCACACACACACACGGCACACATGGCACACACGGCACACACACACGGCACACACACGGCACACACGGCACACACACACGGCAGCTGCTCCTGGCTCAGGAGCACTCCCAGCCCCTGGCATTCTCTGCATGCCCTGGTGGCAGCTGGCAGGGGGAAGGTGCTCAGCAGCTGCTGAAGGATTTGTTCCTCGTTTCAGAACTCGGGGCACGCCGAGGCATGGAGCCCACGCCATCCCCTCACCCAGCACTCCTGCCTCACAGGGACACTGGCTTTCCTGATGGCAATTGTGGGCTAACCCCACCTCAGCCCCCTGCCAGGGCAGCCCTTCTGTGCACAGCAGCAGCAGAGGTGGAAGGGAAGCACTCTGCCCTGCACAGCCCCTGCCTTGGAGCTGCAGAGCTGCTGCACAACTCCCCTCAGCCACAGCAGCTGCACTGTCCCGGGGATGCCGATCCAGCTGCTCCTGCCTGCCTCACACCCTCCACAACACGCATGCAGGGAGGCAGCCACCAGATGGGTCCCACTTTACACCAGCAAGAAACCCCGCAGATCTGACACCGAGTTCAAAATGAAATGCTCAGTAAATCACCGGGACTCTGAAGGGAAACAAAGACATTTCCTGAAAGGGAGATAGCTCAGCAAAACGAACACTGCCTCTAAATAAGTATTACACTCTATCCAGAGACCCAATTAGCATCTTTAGTCATCTCCTGCTCCGAGATGAGATAGCTGAGAGCCTCTTCAGAAACAGCTTTTAAGCCCTATAATTACCTCCTATGCTCACAACGCTAAACGTATTTGAGAGGCAACATTTATACATAACCAGTAATTACAAGTCACAGGTTCACATGTCTTTCATGTTCTGCTCTTTAATCTGCACTTTATTTTACTTCTTGCCTGGGAAAATGGGGATGTCATTGAAGCGCTCTCCTGGCCGGGGCTGAGGCAGCCCTGGGGTTTGTGTCAGAGGCTCTGCAGCAGGCGGGGGCTGCCCAGCCCGGGCTCAGCCTCCTGTGCCCTGGAACGTGCTCAGTTATCCCCAGAGCAGCCTCCTCCTCCTCACAGCCCCGCTGAGGCTGCAGGACATCCCCAGGATAACCAAGCTGGGACCTGTGGCCACCCTGTCCCCAGCCCAGAGCACCGAGTGCCACCCCCAGGGCTGGGCACCCCAAAGCTCCCTGATTGCCCCAGGGGCGCCCCAAAGCTCCCTGGCTGTCCCAGGGCACCCCAAAGCTCCCTGGCTGTCCTGTAGAGCACCCCAAAGCTCCCTGGCTGTCCCAGGGGCACCCCAAAGCTCCCTGGCTGTCCTGTAGAGCACCCCAAAGCTCCCTGGCTGTCCCAGGGCACCCCAAACTTCCCTGATTGCCCCAGGGGCACCCCAAAGCTCCCTGGCTGTCCCAGGACACCCCAAAGCTCCCTGGCTGTCATTTGGAGCACCCCAAAGCTCCCTGTCTGTCCCCAGGGACACCCCAAAGCTCCCTGGCTGTCCCAGGGGCACCCCAAAGCTCCCTGGCTGTCCTGTAGAGCACCCCAAAGCTCCCTGGCTGTCCCAGGGGCACCCCAAAGCTCCCTGTCTGTCCCCAGGGACACCCCAAAGCTCCCTGGCTGCCCCAGGACACCCCAAAGCTCCCTGGCTGTCATTTGGAGCACCCCAAAGCTCCCTGGCTGTCCCCACGGACACCCCAAAGCTCCCTGGCTGTCCCCAGGGACACCCCAAAGCTCCCTGGCTGCCCCAGGACACCCCAAAGCTCCCTGGCTGTCCCCAGGGACACCCCAAAGCTCCCTGGCTGTCCCAGGACACCCCAAAGCTCCCTGGCTGTCCCCAGGGACACCCCAAAGCTCCCTGGCTGTCCCCACGGACACCCCAAAGCTCCCTGGCTGTCCCAGGACACCCCAAAGCTCCTTGGCTGTCCCAGGGGCACCCCAAAGCTCCCTGGCTGCCCCAGGAGCACCCCCAGAGCAGGGAGGTGAGTTCTCAGAGCCCTGCAATCCCACAGACCATCCGTCTGCTCTCGTGTCCGTGCTGCTGCGGGCACTCAGGCAGGGCTGTGGGGATCAGAGCACGGAGGAATCCCCAGCCCAGCTCCTCTGACCCTGCCCTGGCACAGCTGGGGGACAGCGAGGGCTCCAGAGGCTGCTGGAGCTCAGGCTCTGCATTCTGCTGCTCTGAGGGGAGTCAGTGATGATCTGTCACAACCAAGGGTCAGGGAGGGACAATGGAAGTCTCAAGCAAGAATTAACAGGATTCTAAACCCAGGGACCTTCTTCCTGCTTTTTCCTCCCCACCCATAAATGCACGTGGTAATTACACCTCAGAGCAGGGTGACTAATGCCTGCCAAAATATGGGATGACAATTTGAGATGAAAGTTGTTTTGAAGGTATCATTTACAGTGCTCCTGTTATGACTACTGAAAAGAACACTACAGGTTTAATTGCCAAGGACTTCTTTCCTCTGAAGGCAAAACATCCTCAAGAATGTGACATCAGGTTCCATAAATATTTACTTTCACTAGCTATTAAACAGGATTTTTAAGAGGGTCTGAATGAATATTCATCACTTGGATGCAAAACTCCAGCACTTGGACACTGCAAAGTCAATTCTCAGGAAAAGGAGAGGCCCCAGCTGCCAGGGACAGAGCTGGCCCTATGAACAGAGCAAGCTGGATGTTAATACTCTTTAAGAACAGATTATTTCCAATGCTTATGAAGGATTTCTCTCAAACTAGAATTAACATACCAGGAACATCCAGAGTCTTAACCTTATTCTGCTTCCCAGTGTGTGAACTCGCTCAGCAGCTCCCTCAATTTCTGTTCTAACAATCCCAATGACTCAAAGCACTCCTTCAGCTTCCAGCAGTTACTCACATTCCCTCAATCCTACTCAGGAATTAACCCAACTACAGAAAATCATGAACATATCAACATCTGACACAGAAAAATCTCAGGGACTGAGCTGAGGAGGGCTGGAGAACTGAAGTGAGACACCTAAAGATGATCTAAGATCCCTCCCCATGTCTGAGCACAGCAATTTCACACAACTGCACACAGCCAGAGGCCAGAGCAGCCCTGGGTACCGAACACAAAGCCCTTACCTGGTGGCTGGGTCCCACTCTGATTTCACCTTGGGTGCTGTTCAGCCTCCTAAGGTGCAAAGGAAAAACAGCAATGAGAAACAATTGCAACCAATGAAATTCAGGGTGATGCTCTCTTTTGTCACTGCATTTCTGATCCAAACGGAGCAGGAGCAGGAATCAAACATCACTGAGAGAACAGGAGGGGATGTGCTCAGGTGTGCTGAGCAACCTGGGCAGGTTCCCCTTCCACCTGAGGGACAGTGCCACCCTCCAGGAAACAAACCCACTCCAAAAATGAGCCAAAGGCCCCCAGGAAACAACCAGAACACGTCAACATGCCTTCCCCCAGTGCAGATCTTTGCAAGACAACCTGACACTGTTTTCTTGCTTTCAGGCTATGCAAGGAAATGACTGAAGTAGGAAATCAATTTTCTATTTACAAAGTCATACATTAAGTACCGGGTTACTACAAGGTGTCAGAAGGGGAAGCTGACAACAGAAAATGCTGATGCTCTTGGTTCCCTCCCAGAATTCATTTTGGGGCCGTGCACATCCCTGCTCTCAGCGTTCCTGGGCAGGGGTTGTGCCCACCCTGAGCCCTGGGCTGGTTTCAGCTCAGGCAGGAGGAACCAAACATCCCCCAGATCCCAATTTCTTCAGCTGCAGCACACTCAATGTGACAGACAGACATTTAAGGACCAAGGCTGGGCCATCCTGTAATGGCAAAGTTCAAGTTTGGGATGGGATTTCTGCCCCCAGCTCCCTCTGTGGGACCCCGTGGGGCTCTCCAGCCACCCCTCATGCAGCATGGACAGAAATATTTCTGTGTGTCCTTGCACCAGCAATCCCATTTCCAGGGAGCATCCCCAGCTCGAGGGGCTCTCCCCTGCCCAGGAGGGGAGGGCTGGGCTCAGCCGCCCCATTCCCCTGGATTTGAGCAGGGCACAGAGCCCCAGGCTGCCCAGGGACGCGGGATCTGCTCTGTGCCTCCTGCTGCCCCCGCAGCCCCAGCCATGGCTTCCAAATGCAGAGGGAAATTCTCGCTATGGAAACTAAAACGCAGCGCAGATTTGGAGCTAAATCATATTGGTGAGGGCGATTACAATGAGAATGGAACGGCACCCTTGTTTATTCCATGGGAAGGGAAAAAAGGAGCCGACGCTGGATATGAAATGTGACACAAAAGAAGCTGCTGTAACAAAGCAGTATCCATAGCAACAACAACTTAATATTTCAGTCCTCCTCAGCTGCAGTGGATTAAATATAATGACAAGATGTTCCCTTTGAAAAGTAACCTGTTGCCATGGCAACGTTGTGTTCTGCAAAGTAAACAGGGGCTGGTCAGAAAGGAGCTGGGAGCCAGAGCCGGAATAGCAAAGGGGAGGAGGGGAGGCAGCAAGGCTGGTGCCCAGGGCAGTGCCCAGGGCCAGCAGGGCAGGGAGCCCCTTGTCCCATTGTCCTGCCCTCCTGAGGCACCAGGGCAGCCTGCAGGGCACTGAGGGCAGGCCAGGGTGGGCACAGGCTGGGCACAGCTCTGCTCTCCCACCCTGGGAAGGAGGGGACAGGGGGGAAGCTGGCACAGCAGTTCTGCACAATTCCCAGCACAGAAATGAGCTTCACCCTCAGTTTGTCACCTGCCTTGTCCCCAGCACTGAGCAGTTACACCAAGGCTGCCACAGCAGTTCTGCACAATTCCCAACACACAAACCAGCTTCAATCTCTTCACTCGCCTTGTCCCCATCATTGACCGGTTCCCCAGGGCTGGCACAGCTGGCAGCCCTGTCCATGCACACAGTGCCACCAAGGACAGGGACAAGGCCACCACAGGTGCCCCAAGCACAGCAGGACAGCTCTGGGGAGCGGCTGGGCTGGGGGCTCACAGCAGGGCCCAACCCAGGCTGGGGCCATGGCAAAGGGCCCTGGGGGTGTGGGCACTGCCCTGTCCCTGGTGCCAGCCCCTGGCAGGTCCCCGGGGGTGTGGGCACTGCCCTGCAATGCCAGGATCACCTCCAAGGTGGGATCTCAGCAATGCTGCTGCTTTCACCCTTCCCTTTCCCGTGCCAGGGCCAGCAGCAGAGCTGCCTGCAGGAAATGCACATTTCTCACCCTCTGCAGCTGCCTGGGTTTATCTGTGCTGCTGTGGCCACCCTGCCCTCAGGGCCCTCTGCCATCCTCTGGAACCATCCAGGAACAGCTCCAGCCCCAGAGGTAACTGAGTGCTGCCATTCAGTTAAAAACAACCCAACCAAAGCCCAAAGCCAAACCAGAACCCCACATCCCACACAGGACAGCATTCTGTGCCACCACAGACCCACCCGGGCATCCCTCCCTGACTCTGCACGCTGACCCGACCCCAAATTAAATTACAGGGATGCTCCAACAGAAGAAGGTTTTTACACCAACCACAAGCCTCCTCTCAAACAGCTGAGGAGGTGCCCAAAACAGCTGAAAATGTCATTATTTCTACACAGGCAAAGATTAAAAGAAGAAAGGCACATCCTAAGGCCAGGATAGCGAGGGATTTGGGCTGTATTTTTGTTTTTATTAGGCAATAACAAACTGCAGCACTGAACAATGAATCCCAGGAGATTTGGGGCTCTGTATGAGGCCGGGTACCAACACCAACGCTGAATAAAGCAGGCCCGTGTCAGATACACGTGTTATAAATAATTATAAACTGCAGTCCCACACTGGGCACTGGCTGACCGGCCATTGTTAATGGCCAGGCATCGGTTACATCCACTGACAGTGGGACACAGCAAAGCAACTCCTAGATACTTGTGATTTCTGCAAAATTATAGAAACTCCCAAGGAAGTCCCAAGAAAAGGCTTTTTAAAAACAATCCTTTAATTCAAATAGCCCAATACCCAGGATGAAAGACCCCAGCTCTTCAGAGGCAGCTCTAAAAACATCTGGCAAGGATCATCTTGTTCCATCTTAGAGGGACAAAACAGGGGAGAACAAAATGACTCCACTCCAAGTTCAGCAGATTAAAAACCAGTTTATCAGGGCTGAGAGGGACTGGCACTGCAGCCAAGAGCATCTGTTTATGGTCACTGTTGGGAGGCAGGAAACTGAGCCAAGGGGATCTGGAATTTTAACCCAAAATTATCTTATGTCATGTTCAAACACTGCACGCTCCAAAATGCAACAGGGACAAACACGTTCAGGCTGCACAACCTTTAACCAAAAACCCCACAACTGCCTCAAACCTGAGGTAAATAAGAGAAACAAGAGAAACAAGTCCCTGGGTTCACCTGTGTCCTAAACCTTCATCTTTAAAGCAAGATTTTAAATTTCTTTTTACAGAAATTATATCCTAATGCTCAGAAAATATCCTTGCCCCTTGTAAGATTGAGCTTCATTTCAAACCTGTTGTGTTGCAATAATTTAAAAAAAAAAAAAAAAGAAAAAAAAAAAGCAGAAGCAATTTTGTGTTCTGGGTGAAAAACCCAAGCTGCATTTGAGCAGTGAGCTCACTGCTCACACAGGCACACAGGAAAGGCTTTTTCAACACCAACTTGTTCTTTCATCGTGGTTATAGAGGAGGAGGAAAACGAAGCCCACAGAGAGCCCTCAGCGCTGTCCCCTACCCAGAGCTGGATGGAGGTGGCAGAAATTCAGCCCAAGGAAGGAAATGTTCTCCTCACACAGAATTACCTGGAGGGGAACGTTTGCCTGGCAGGTGCCATGGGCACCTCTGACTCCTGTGCACCTCCAGATAAGGCAAACACCTTTCTGCATTCTGATCACAAGTCGAAATAAATGAATTACTGGGAGCCACTGCACAATGCAAAGGCTTGTACCTGCTCACATTGATTTAACAGAACCAGGGTGTTGTCTAGCAGCAGCACTGGGGAGTGATGTGCAAATGAGCTCAGCATGGACTGGTGCTGCTGAAGTTTGTCCTGCACAGTTCCCGAAACGGCCAGGCAGTGCCTCTGCCCTCCCCACATTGCCAAATTCCACTGTTGAACCAGCCTGAGCTCCCCAGCAGCAGCACAGCCCCTGTGCCAAAGGCCACCGGGACCTTTCCCATGAAGCTCCATCACACCAGGGCAGTGCTGAACCCCTGGGCTCTGGACCTGCCTGACAACACAGACCTGCAGCTCCCTGAGCAGCACAGGCACAGGCACAGCTCACAGGTGCCACAGGTGACAAGCATGACGAATGGGAGGCATGAGAGGAGCTGGGAGGTATCCCTAGCTCCACCATGCACCTGGAAACGAGCTCTAATTAAAACAAATTACATCCTAAAGTATTGGAAGGAAGGGGACAGAGGTAATCCTGCTGATTTATGCCTGGAAAAAAAGCTGAAATGAAGGCAGAACAAAGAGAAGAGACTGTTCTTCATCCAAAGGACAATACTGAAGCACTTCCCATGATATACCAGCAATTTCTGGCAGCTGTTTGGAGTGGCACTGACTCACCAGACCACCCGGCAGCAGTGCCTGAGCTGGGAGCACCTGCTGGGGCTGCGGCCAGGGCAGAGCTGTGCGTGGGGCAGGGAATGGCTGCGGAGCCCAGGGGCCCTGCCCAGGGCAGCTCAGACCCTCTGCAGCTCCTGCACCCAGCCCGGCCCCCCTGGGCTGGGGCTCTGGGGTGTCCCTGCCTGGGGGAGCAGGACATTGGGCTCCTGTCGGGTTCCTGTCGGGTTCCTGTTGGGTTTTGCTGTTTGGTTTTATTTTTAAACCCAATTCGCACAAACCTGAGCAGCTGCTTGCTGATGACCTGGCTGCCCAAGCCCTTCCCTGCTGTCCAGAAGGGAACAATTGAAACCAGTGCTAAGGACACAAGCTGCCACCTCCCTGTGTTCCTGCAGAGCACTGCTGGATGCCTGCACACACTCAGGGAGCTCCTTTATTAGGAATAAGAATGTGTCCAAAGCTCAGGCCCATGGAGACTCCTCTCTGAACCATGAGGAGATCCTAACCCTAAACCACGAGGAGATCCTGCCAGGCTGAGCTCTGTCACCATTAGCAGCACTTTGCTCAGCAAATGGCCAAAGTGATCCACATGAAATAGGTGTTCTTGGTTTTTCATGCTCTGCAGGTATGAAAGGAGAT